ATTTAAAACACTCTTCTCACATATTATTCTTCTGTTAATGAATGGATTTCAGTCTATGTCTAAATGAGCAATCACAACAATTGTTTGTTCCCTGTTCTGAAACATACCGTTGCCAATTCCCTCGAGAGGAATTCTTCAGATTTTTGCATCGAAAAGCTTCTTTATGTGCGTGTTGATGTAACCAAATATACACGTTGTGCTGTGTGCTGGTTTATGACGCAAAATTCAAGCTTCCTTTTGTAATGAAAGCTCTTTGAGGAATGTTTCTGAAAATGTGTTTAATTAGATCCTCTGCTTCCTGGACAAAGCAAAATGAAAACTTTTGCCTTGTTGTAGAATGTATGATACATATAGTTAAATACGTGTTTTTGGTTGTTGTTCTCCCCCCCTTTTTTTTTTCAAGTCCAAAGGGGCAATTTGCCCAGAAAGACTATTAATTTCGTTTTGGCATTTTGCGTTAATCCACTACAAGCGTTATTTCACTTTTCAAATTATTGTCACCAAATATTATCGCCCTGTATTATGTTTAAAGGAATAAAATCATGAGGAATCTGTATATAATGTATGTATATTTCTCGCATTGTGATAAAACAACGGTACTTAAGCCATCGAATTATGAATAATGTAATCTCCTGCGAATATGGGCATCTGGGAAAAAATAGTCCAAATGGATTCGAGAATGGTCAAAATGAATATTTTCTTTGAAATATGATACGCGAAATATTTTGGCGATTATGGTACTTCCTTTACTTCGTACAAGGAAGTAAAAAGAAAAAAATACGATTCGTGTTTTGCCGTGCTATGATCCGTAAATATCCTCTGTAAAACTTGCTTTCAAATTTTTTGTTTTAAATAACTTTTCGTTTTAATAAATTTCCTAGTGCCAGATATGAAATATAAGATATTAGAAATGTGTTTTATTAATCACTCTAATCATATGAACATTAATAATATTTATAAAGAAAGTATGTATTGTGTTTTTTAAAACACGTTGTATGCTACTAGTAATGTATTGTTATAATTCCGAGATGAGAATTTAAAAAGTATTTGCTTTTTGAAATTGCAACAGTTTTCAGATTCGGTAATTTGCTAGGCCGCGATTATGCTGTGGGTAATTGCATGATGTTTCATAATGTAGTCAAGGGGTGGGTAACATGACTAAAAGTTAACTAACTATAAAAGTTTTTTAACAACAAAATTCTCTTTTCTTTTGCTTGCTAGTTAGAAATATTTTCGTTTGCATAAAGTTATCCACGTTCCGGCCTAATTAACACCAGCATTTGTGTCGTAGTTATGTTCAACACATCCCCGCAAATATTGACTTCCTCGTTTTTTTTTTTTTTTTTTTTTTTTTATCCTTTCAGATGTGTAATATTTAATTTCTCAGGGTGAAGATCATTGAGTCGGTATTAAGATAACATAATTTAAGGTTTCCTTGGAAGTTGTGAGCCTTAAGTGTTAAGCAGAGCAAGAGTTGTTCTTAAACTTCACTGTTGTTTAAAAAAAAACGCGTATTCTTAAAAAAAAGTATTATGTGAAAAACATCGTAGTGTAAACCTGTAAATTACTGTAAATAACGAAGTAGAAAATGAATAATTTTTCCGTGACTGTAAGCTAAAATTTTTTCTTCGCATTATATCAATAAATTCTCAGCTTCCGTCGCAAATGTCACGTGATTTTCACATTTACTGTCTCTTCGGTTGGTATATATTATTATCTCCTCTCATGTCAAGTCATGTTTTTATGTATTACAGAAAAGTGTGTTCTTGTTCTAAAAAATAGATTTTGTGTAAAGTTTTCTTGTGTGTAATTATTCTAGAGCGATAAACCTTTGTTATCATATTCATCCTTATGGGAGAAAATCTATTGTATTATACTTTTATTTCCTCGAGTTTCAATAGATATAGTATAGTGTATTTCATTTTTATATTCAACTATGGTACAGCAGTCAAAAGACCTTTTTTTCTCAGATTCTTTGTTCTAGTATAAAGAACTTCTGGTAGTTGAATTTCACTCAAGCTGCTTTTAGGCCAAAGGACGTTAACTCAGAAGGGCTATTAATTTCGTTTGGGCATTTTGCGTTGAAAACTATAAATGTCCGTTTCATTTTTCAAATTTTTGCTACCAAATGTTACAGCCCCGTATTATATTTAAAGTAATTAAATAATAAACAATATGCGTAAATGTGTGTATGTTTCTCGCATTGTAATAAAACAACGGTACATAGCCATCCAGGTTTGAATAACGTAATCCTCCTGCGAATATGGGCATGTGGAAGCCCAAATTTGAAATTTGGTTTATTATCTAGTTCATATTTTGTAAAATTTTAACGAATTTTTGATTAACAAACTCAAGGATTTCAAAGTGAGCAATAGCAACGTTGTACAGGAAAAACATTTTTATCTCCAGCGCGCGAGACTGTATCGGAAATTCTAAAGATATGCTCAATTTAAAACTATTTTGCGATATTGCTCTTGATCTGAATTTGATGATTTAAGTGCGAAGAGCGTGATGTTTAATAAATAAAGGTAACAGACAAAGTATTAAAAAAACGCCCCTGTTTACGTAATTTACAATCTGAAACCTTTCAGATTTTTATTTTAAATTTAATTTCTTTCTAATTTATTTATTCAATTAATTATTTTGCTACTGCTGATACAGAGTGATCTTGATCGAAGCCAGTGTTTAAATGCGCTCTTTTCTGATCACGTTGTATAATTCTAGCCTTGTGCTATGGCATAATTTTTGCTTCAGTGCAGTTCTAAAAGAATGCAGAATATTTTATTTTCATTATATTTTGCTCTTTTATATTTTTAAAAAATGGTAATAAATGATAATTCAGTTTGCTCATGAAATTTGTGGCTGAAAATCCAAGTTGTACTGTACAGAATCTGTGAAAAAGATTAAATATTCTGGAAAACACAGTACGTGATCATTATGAAGAACAGTGGGTATGTAAGCTGTTACGATGTATGGGTAAGGTATTCTTCAACACAGCACAGTATGCTTGCTCGAGTTCAGGCATGATTCTTTGCTTATAGTAATCATAATAATAATAATAATAGAAGTAATAGTAATAATAATCTGAAAGATTTAAAATTTTATATTGAGGTCAAACGAGCGTTTTTAGCATTTACAGACGTATACAGAGCATTTGGACTAACGTCGTTAAGGGGCTAAAAATATTTAAAACAGCATATCTTTAGAATTTCCGATAGACAGTCTCGCGCGCTGGAGATAAAAATGTTGTATTACCTACAATGTTGCCACTGCTCGCTTTGAAATCGTTGAATGTTTTAATCAAAAGTTAGTTGAAGTGTTGCGAAATATAAAATCGATGATAAAACAAATTTCAAATTCAAATTAGGGTTTTCACATGCCCGTAATGTATGGGAGGTTAAGTTATTCAAATTTTGATGGCTGTAGGTGCCGTTGTCTTTTCACAGTGCGAGAAATATGCATATATTCACGCAAATTCTTCATTTTTTTAGTTTTTTTAAATATAATATAGAGCGATAATATTTGGTGGCAACATTCTGAAAAATTATACATCGCATTTAAATGATTCAACGCAAAATGCCGTTTCGATACTGATATCCCTTCTCGGCTAAGACCCTTTCAGTATTAATTGAAATAATTAAAAAAGAAAGATTCTTTTTTGAAACGCCTCATTACTGGAGATTAGAAGTGGATATTATACAAGAAAATGATCACGGGGTAACTGAAAAGAATCTTCCAGAAGGGTGCTGCATGCTTTTTGTATGGTGGGACTACAAAGGAATTGTAGACCATAAATTCGGAAAAATACTCTTTCCAAATGGCAGATTTAAAAGCAGACATCGAAGCAAAGCGTTCAGAACTAACCAATATTCGAAGTATTCTCTTCCATCGTGACAGTGCTTGGCCCCACATTTCGATGAATGTCAGACAAATTTTCTCCCTCTTTTCTACATATCTTCGTGGTGTAACGCTAGCACACTCGGTGCGTATTGGTGAGGTCCAAGTTCAAGTCTGGGTGAGGGCGTTGCTCATTTTTCATGTCTTCTTCTTCAAAATATCCTAATGAATCTACAGTGGCGCCCGAACTAAAAGATGGTGGATGATGATTCTTCACGACCTGGATTTACCGATTGGGTTCTTTAATGCCCAGTCGCCCCTTAAAAGGGACTGTATGTAAGGTAAGCAGGCTTTCGTGGTGTAACGGTAGCACACTCGGCGCATATTCGAGAGCTCAAGGTTCGACACCCGGCGTGGGAATTGCTCATTTTTCTTCATGTTTCCCATACTCCCCCCCCCCAAAAAAAATCCTAATGTCTCCACAACTTCTTGAGTATGGGTAACTTGTTTTATGTCACTCTTCGTATTTACTAGACCTTGCCCTCTTGCACTTTCATCTCATCAGGCCTCTTCAGAATTCTCTGAACAACCTGGAAGTCCCTTCTTTGTAGACTGTCAAACAGCACCTCGATAACTTTTTTTACAAATAAACCTAATGACTTTTTTTTAAAAAGGAATTTTCCAGCTGCTGAAGAGTTGGAAAAAACAACATAGAACAAAATAATGCTTATGAGATTCAATGAAATTTTCGTAAGAGTTTGTACTACTTCATTTGCATTTATCATCCATAACCGCAGAATATTTTGCGTGACCCAAACACAGGAATTTTTAAGCCAAAAAGGAGGGCCTATATTTTGCCATTTTTTTTTTTTTTTTTTTTTTTTTTTTTTTTTTTCAACTTACGCCGAAAGCCCTGAAAGATCCTGGCATACATCTAGTGTATTATCATGTAGTGTATTTTGAAATTTTTCGAACTTATGCCGAAAGCCCTGAAAGATCCTGACTTACATGTAGTGTATTATCTTTCTTCACCGCTAAAAAAGTAAAGGTTATTGATATCGCATGTAGTGTTTATTTCTTAATGATTAAGGTTGTGTGCTTAAAAGAAATATACTTTTTGTTTCAGATGATTGAAGTGTTTAAAGAAATGCTTTTTGTTTCAGATGCTTGAACAGGACACAATGGTTACCTCCAAACAAACCTTTCCTCTGCCGGAACAAGACAAATCGGGCAACGACGAGCGCTCTTTGCTGTTACCATGACTACTGCAACAAAGATCTCGAACCAACAATCTCTCCGCCTTATGGTATGTTATTTGTATCATTTTTTTGTTAATACTCGCTCCTTATTCTACAGTTTATCAGATAAGAAATGCTTTGTTTCTTTCCTTAATAATTTTTAAATTTTATATTTGAATATATAATATTTATTGTATTTAATATTTGAATATATAATAATTGTTGTTGTTATTCTGTACGGAATACTGCTTCTAGATCTTCAAAAATATTTATTGACTCTAGCTCACCGGTTCTCAAACTGTGGCACACTGTGGGGGGAGGGGGGCAGTTCTCTATGTTTCGTTTTACTGGGCTGATTGACAGAAATTAAACTTTTTTTTTTTTTTTTTTTCATGTCTCGAAGCGCGACTTAGTATATGTATAGATAGATATATATATATATAGCATTGTTCTAATGTAGGTATTTTGTCACAAATAGGGCTTTTTCTAAAATGACATGCCTTTTTTTTTTTTTTTTTTTTTTTTTTTTTTTCCATGTTTCGATTTTACGACTCCATTATGCCACCTGCCAAGATTTGTAAAAATCGTACGAGTAGTTTTTTAAAAAATTATCTCTCAAAATTATAACTCTTCCATTTCCATTTTAAAATTAATTGATACATACGTATATATCAATATATCTTTTTTTATTAAATTTAATTGGTTCTTTCCTCCAGAATTCGAAATTTGGGCTTAATATAAATATAGTTCGCGCATTATGATTTATTTTTTTAATTTTTATTTTTAAATATTTAAAAAAAACTGGAAAATAATTTTGAATCGTAACCTTTAAAATTTTTAATATCATCTTAAAGTAAATGTTTTCTAGACCCACCTGCATAAAATTAGAGTTTTTTATTGAAAATTTTCTAAGATATACATGAATTTTACAGATTGGCGCGTTTCGAAATTTGGAATTTTTGATGAGATCAGTTTTTTGAATCAAATAGAAATTAGATTTAGATGAGTTTAGTTTACCGTACGCCAAATTAGAAAGATTATTTTTTTCATTCAGATCCGGGGATTTTCTTCCTTATTATTATTATTATTATTGCATCTGTAGACTAAAAAGAATGGAACAAAACTGTATATGGAGGGGGGGGAGAATTGAGCCCTAGTAGACGTTAGAGCCCAGAAGGACTATTAGTGTAGCACCGGGATTTTGCGTCGAATCAGTAAAAGCGTTGCTTTCCAAATTGTTGCTACCAAATATAATCGCCATGTATTATATTTAAAGAAACTAAATAATGAAAAATCTGAATGAATGTTTTGCACATTGTGAAAAAACAACAGTACCTAGAGCTATCAAATTTTGAATAACGTAGTCCTTTAACCAAACCTGGAACCACGAATTTTGAATTTCGAATTTGTTCTATTATCTATTTCATATTTTGTAAAGTTTTAATAAATGTTTTTAAAAAAAAATCGATGATTTCAAAGCGAGTAGTGGCAACACTGTACGGAAAAAGAAGTTTTATCTCTAGCACGCGATATCGTCCATTGGAAATTATAAAGATATGCTGTTTTAAAATAGTTTTACCCCAAATGCTCTGGAAACGTGTATATGTGTATAAATTGAAAAAAAAAAAAAAAAAAAAAAAAAAAAAAAAGGCCCCTTTATGTGTAATATAAAATCTGAAAACTTTCTTTTAAAAAAAAAAAAAAAAAAAAAAACTTTTTTTAATTGTTAGTTTAATTGTGATGTTGCGAAGTATATGAAGTTTAACCATAGTATTTATTTGTTACGTTAATTTTCATTTAACTAATTTCATTAATAGAGGCTTATTTAATATTATATAAATAATCCGTCGTATTTGTGCTTGATCCTGATGTAGTCGACTCATCATCTACAAATTCCGTTTTGTTTCTTATCTACATTTTCGTTATATATCTAACATGGCTGTAAAACAACTGTAGTAGATAAAAGATAGAGATTATTGCAAAAAAAGTGCAATTGTTATCAATACTTGCAGTTTTTATTTCGGCTAAGTGGTTTATGTAAATACTTGTTAACATTTCTGTTCTTCCCTTTTATCTTCGTTGTTTATCGCAACCAGAATTAAGGTTTTTATTTTTTCGTTAACTATCTTGCATTTAACTGCATTTATGGAATAATTGGCTGAGATGTGAAGAGAAATGTTCATTTTCCGTTTCAAAATAATTTTCAAAAGAATCATTTTAAAAGAATTTTCGTTTAAAAATATTATTAAATTTCTGAAGCTGCCTCTTTAAAACTAGTTTATTTTTTGTAATTAGATTATCATTTGATAATAAATAAACGAAATAACGCTGTCTTTTTATTTAATGAAAATTCCATTTTGTGTGTGTCATTTCGAAAATAAGGATTTTAAATTCTCATCTTAGTTTGTCGTTTCGGTACATTTTTTCCCATTCTTCTTCGTATCAATAGATAAGTTAGAATTCTCCTACGATGACGCTGTTTTTAAATTGTTGCTGTTTTAATCTCGAAATTTATGATATGGGTAGCAAAAAGAGTAACAAACATTTTAAATGTTGTTAGTGCAAAGGGGCTTTGTCCCTGAGGAAATGTTGTTTTTGTTTCGTGTCGATTTTGCGACGAATCACTTTGAATGTCCGTTTCTTTTTTCAACTGTTGCCACCCAATATTATCGCCCTGTATTATATTTGAAAAAAATTAAATAATGAAGAATCTGCATGAATGTTTTATGTTTCTGACATTGTGAAAAACCAACGGTACCTAGAGCCTGCTGCGAATATGGGCATCCCAAATTTTATATTTGGAATTTGTTTTATTATCGATTTCATATTTTGCAAAACTTTAACGAATTTTTGATTAACAAACTGAAGGATTTCAAAGCGAGCAATGGCAACGTTATACTGAAAAAACATTTTTATCTTCAGCGAGTGAGACTGTGTATCGGAAATTCTAAAGATATGCTCAATTTAAAATTATTTTGCGACATTGCTCTTGAACTGAATTTTAAGTGTGAAGAATATGCTATTTAGTAAATAAAGGTAACACATAAAATGTTAAAATAACACCCCGTTGGACGTAATTTAAAATCTGAAACCTTTCAGATTTTTTTAACAGTGTTATTTCTTTTAAAACTGATATATCTTAACTGTAGCTCGCGTTGTTTTAACTATTGTTTGGCCTTTATGCCATCTGCAAGTAAATTTATGCACTGTGTGTAGAATCCCAAACATCCATGAAAGTGAATTCTTAGTAAAAGGCCGAACTATGAACGAATTGTTGAGGAGCTGTAGCCACTAAGAACAATGTCCTATTCAAGAGACTCCACCTTTCAGTTCATGTTGACAGGTGTATTCAACCAATCGTAGTGCCATAGTTTGCTGCATCCAATGAAAAGAGTGCGCGCACCTGACGGACGAGCGTAGGTGGAGGAGGAGCAGAGATAGTTGCAAGAAAAGGGAATTGATTTCTGTCACGTAATTGAAGAGACTTAATTCTTGGAATATCGTTGGCTCTTGCTTTTTGTTACAGCAGTTCGTTCAAGGGCTGATCAGATAATTATGGCGCTAGTGTTTTGTTTCTCGTTGTATTATTGCAGCTTGTTTTGTTTTGGGAAGTAAGTGGCTGTGAAACGAATATGTTAGTAAATGTCTACGCTTTTTTAATATCGGCAATAATAATGTTATAATGTCTGATGTTTATATATTTTCTGCTATTGTAACAGATGAAGAATCATTTTATGTAACTTCATTTTCCAAGGGAGAGAACGAACTTTTAGTTATAATTAAAAAAGCTTAGGGCTAATTCATCTTTTCCTAATTCATTCATTCATTCTTTGGTCAAAATTCTGCAGACACATCCTCTGCCATCCCTCATCGATTCCATTTTTCCCGTTTCATCGGTTCCTCGAAAAGCCGCTTTTTGAGACAGCAAACTTTCATCAGTTATCGCTTGGCTTAGCTTCTGATTTTCAGTTATTTTCTTATTCAGTTATTTTCTTTCGATAACTTATTTTAAGCAGAAAGTTGATTTTTAGGTATATACAAAATACGAATTTATTTGAATCTTAATTTTTGTTTATAGTGCGTAACACCAGTTTTTAGCTTTATTTATGCTTTCAAACAAATGGAATTATCGTTTCTGAAAGCAATAAAAAGTTGTAGTAAAACGATATAAAATTAGGGTTAAATTTGCTTATTAAAGTGTAGTGAACAAACTATCTCTAATCGCGACCATCCGCAATTCTAGAAGCAGGCTCCATCCTCGGGGGGGGGGGTCGACTTTTTAGCCCAAAGGGCTGTTGATCTCAAAACGGCATTTTGTGTCGTTTCATTTTTTGCCTTGGTCCACTTTTCAAACTGTTGCCACCAAATATTATCACCATGTTTTATTTAAAGAAGCTAAATAAGAAAGAATCTGCATGAATGTATGAGCGTTTCTCGCATTGTGAAAAAACAACGGTACCTAGAGCCATCAAATTTTTAATAACGTAGTCTTCATACCGAACATGGACACTTGGAAGCCTGAACTTTGAATTTAAATTTTTTTTTATTATCTATTTCAAATTTTTTTAAAACATTAACGAATTTTTCATTAATAAACTCAACGATTTCAAAGCGAGCAATGGCAACACTGTACGGGGAAAAAAAACATTTTTATCTCCAGCGCGCGAGACTTTGTATCGGAAGTTCTAAAGATATATTGTTTTGCTGTTTTTAAATATTTTGTGATGTTACTATCGAATTGAATTTTATATGGTTAAAGTGCGAAGAATATAATGTTTAATAACTAAAGGTAACACAAAATGTTAGATATAAAATCTGAAAGCTTTCAGATTTTCTTTTCTCTTCTTTCTTTTTCTTTTTTTTCTTTCCCTAAGCCCAAAAGAATATTGGGCTATTAATTTCCTTTTGGCATTTTGCGTCGATTCACTATAAAGGGTCTCAGGAAACTACCAGTGTTTATATAATATTCTCCGATAAATTGCTCACTTTCAGAGGTAGTCATTTTACGATAGTGGTCTCCGCGAGGGTTTTGAGTATAATTATTTTCTTGCGAATAAGAGATTTAAGG